AACAGTGGCTGCCATTCCTGTGCTTACAGAGGCATCCATGGCTGACGCCTCAGCTGCCCACCCCTAGTTATGCTTCTGAAGGGTAGCTCTTCCCTCCTCTGGCCCACTCATGCAGGTTGTCCATAATTCACATGCATGCACATATGCACATAAACTCCAGGCAATAATCAGAATACAGCTCACATTTTATAAACCACACAGCAGCGCATGGCAGCAGCATTAGTTAATAAATATTGATGCAATATTTAAAATCAACAATGTCCAATTTTTTTCAAAATAAATGTTTTCAAAAGTTCCCTTTTTCCTCCTCTGTGGATTGTGCTTAACATTCTACGGGAAGAAATGGGATTCAGCAGGTGACAAATTCATTAATCCAGTCAGTGATGATTCCAAACAACAAATTCAGTTACACATTTGCCTTTAGATACTTAAAAAGACTTGGGGCAGCTGGTGTAAATTGTCAGATTTCCACAGAAGCCAATGTGCAATTGATTTGTATAACGGCATGGTAATATTTTGTGTATTATTTGCCATCCCATTTCTTCTTTGTTTTAGCATTTTGAGCGTTTTTTTCAATGACTCTTGCATATATTCTGCTTCACAATGAGGCCCTGACCTGCATCTAGTGCATTTTTCCATGGTAAGCGCAAAAGATAAATATTCATTTCCTTCTTGCCCATTTCTCCCAAGTATAAACCAGCACTTACTGGAAAATCCGTTGACAGGTTTCTATTAAATATCAGCTTAGCCCAAACACTGGAAACATTAGTTATATCTTCTACATAGAAAATATCAAATTGGAAAAGATTATGATTCAAGCATATTAAGGTTGAAAATTAGCCTGCCATGAATCCCATACTGAAGTTGTTACTAATTGTTGCTTCATCTGAAAATAGCAGATTCACCCCACCCAAGAAATGACCAGGTTACATGTGCAACTGACTGTAAACAACACAGTGCATGACTGTATATGTAAACTGAAGTTAATAAGTACATTAAGTTTAATACACACTGGGTTGCATCCAGCCAATATGGAGAGAATTCAAGTCAGAAGATGCCTGTGAAGGAGGCTTAGGGCACTTCCTTGGACAGCCCTGTTCCTGGCACTGCTATGCATGGGCTCCTTTATCTTAAGCTAAAACAATGACTACAAAGGAGGAAATAAACAGCTCAGAAATGCACCATATTGTAGGGGTGCCATATTACTAATTGTGCTCCCTTTCCTTACTCCATTAGTAGCAGACAGTGTGTACAGATTACAAGCCTCTGCCAGGGCTCTAAGCCACTGCAGAATCATTTTGGAGGTTTTAAAAAGGCCTGGGCCAGGAAGAAGGGCAGCCATTAGCCATGCGGTCATCCAGGTGAATCTGAACCTGGCTCTCTCCTCATCACCGCATGCTCCAAGAGTGCCCTGCCTCCAGAGGAAACAACAACCACCTCTGGATGATGCGAGTGAGTAAGCTGCTAGAGATCCGATTAGATATTTAGCTTCAGTAACTCAGATGCGTGTTTAAACGGCTACCTCAGCCACCCTGGTTTGCTCTATGGGATTCCTTTGATATTCCTGTAACATTTCTATGATACTGCTCTACCTTTTACCCTGTTTCCGCCCTACCCCCTGTAATCAATAAAGTTCTCCTTTGTGACCGGTGTGGGAGACTTATTGAGGGGTGGGTCTAAATTATGCCAAGGAGGCCCCTTAGGTCGGTGGACTAAGGGAGGCATCCTAATAAGCCCCTGACTTGGGGAAGTGCCCCAAGTGCTTGTATTGGGTCTAGTACCCATTGGACGATCAGGCCTGTGTTTTCCAAGGTGCACAGAACCAGAAGTGAGCCTTGGATGGTGGCAGCGGGAACCCCAGGCTAGCGGGTGTGCTCCAGGGAAGGGGTTGGCCGGACGGGAGGCACTCTAAGAGAGGCACTCGGAGCCTGGAAGGTGGTCGGGCGCAGGGAGGCGGGCAGCTCAACGCAGGAGCGCCCCCTACTGGCCCGCCACACAAGGCAGGTCACCAGATCAATAGCATGCACAGTTAATCTGCCAGCTGCCCTTGCCTACAGATGTTGAAACCTGTCAGACATTTTTGGGGCTAACAGGTTTTAGCCACACCGCTTGACAGGTGCCCCGCCCCCTGGTTGCCATCTTGGGACTGGAAGTCCTGCCCCAAACCCCTGACTTTTGCCACTGGGAGTCCCTCCCCTTGCCCCTGGAATTACGCCTTTTGGGAGGGGAGGGTTGCCATCTTGGAACCAGAAAAAAAAAATCATATACAGTACTCAGACACCTACTATAACATATTTTATTACATAATATTATTGTCATGATTGGTGTTTGTGTACTGTATATAGAGATAATTGCATAATAACTCAGTCTTACTCTTGCATATTGTGCATGGGGTGTGGTTGGGGGTGGATGCGTGTGTATGGTGGGGTGTGGGGTATGTGTGTGGTTTGTAAGAGGCTATGGCTGTTTGTGGGGTGCATAGGGTATGTGTGGAGGTTGTGGGGGCATGGTATGAGTGTGTGAGGGAGGGTGGGGGAGTGTGGGGACCCCTCACACACTCTCCCCCATGGTGCACAGCCCTTGCTGGTGGTGGTGGCAGCAGCAGGTGCTTGGGGTGCTTGCGGCCTGTGCAGGTGCTGCTGCCCAGCAGTGCACAGCTGCGGCCAGCGCTGCACGTGGTGACAAGGAACGCAACCAGGCCGGCCTACCTCTATCACGGCACACATGCAGTTCCTGGCACTCACACACCACCAGGGAAGCCCCGCCTTGGGGAGCTAGAGAAATGAAAGACTCTGAAGGAAAGCCAGTGACACTTGCTAAGGTATTTAAGTATATTGTGCAATTGGTGGAAAAGCACGCACACAAACCTGCTATAGTAAAGGTAAAGGCACACAAAAATGCTCCGAGAGATTCCTACTGGAAAAACTGGGCATATCTGGAAGCTAAGGCAGGAGCTCAAAATGGGGAAGTATGGAAATTCTCAAAGCAGTTAAAAGGAGTTATTTCTAGCACAAAGGTAAACAAAAGGAGGCAGGAAAAAATATTAGAATTACAAAAACAGGTTTCAGATTGGAAAAAAAAAGGAAAGTGTACAAGAATTACCAGTAAAGGTGACAAAGGAAGGGCTAGTATTAATTGAGATAAAAGAAGCTTGGGTCTTCAGTGTGGCATATTAGTTCAATATGCCACACTGAACTAATAGCTTTGACCCAAAACCAGGGATACCTGGGAACAGAAAAAACTTTGGAAAAATTAAAACTAGTGGGGTGCTGGCCAAATATAAAGCATGATGTTGCAGAATACGTAAATAATTGTTTCCAGTGTGCAATGAATAATGCAGATTCAGTAGTCAAGAAAGGGGAACTGAGGCACCAAAGAATAGGACCATGGAATCAAATTCAAATAGATTATATGGGACCTCTACCTCAAACAGTTCATGGAAACAAATTCATACTGGTAATTGTAGAGTCTTTCCCCCAATAAATAGAGGCAGCTCCAGTATAAAACAATACAGCAGTAGCTACTGCCAAGGTATTGATGGAACCGGTGTTTTCCAGGTGGGGTGTATCCAAAGAAATAGATTCAGACAGAGGGGCCATGTCTACATGTGAATTGGCTGCGCAGTCATTACTGCGCAGTCATTTAGTACTTGTATAAACAAGTACTAAATGACTGCATAGTAACCCAAATTACTGTGCAGTAGTGCCAACGAACATCTTTTTCATGATGCTACTGCGCAGTAGTCTAATACTACTGTGCAGTAGTGTTGCATCACTGTGGTTGCCATATGACATAACTGTGCAGTAGTACTGGGCTACTGTGCAGTCAACGTCTCATGTAGTTGTGGCCAGGAAGTAGTTTTGTAAACTATTATGATCACATTTTGCCAGGTATACAAAATTAAACAAAAGCTGCAGATTGCACATCATACCCAAATTTCAGGGTTAGTGGAAAGAACTGAACCATCAAAGAGACCCTAAGAAAAGCAATAATTTCTACTGGTAAGGACTGGGATGTTAAGCTTGTCCTGATGACCCTAATAGCAGCCACAGTGTCACATGGGATAAGTCCCCACCTGGCAATGACTGAACGTGAATGCCAGAGGCCTTGTTCTCCGCAGTTCCTGATGAATAGCAACCCCAAGTCTCAACAGATAAACGGGTAATTCAGTTAGTGCAACACCTTAATGAAGTTAATAAACAAACTGCTAACTAAACAGGGCTAAACATTAAAAAAATGGACAGATAGTTTAGGCCCATCCTATCCCTGTGAGTAGCAAATTGGGGACAGAGTAACGGTAAAGTGCCTCAAAGAAAAACAACATATATTAGCCAGTACATGGGAAGGTCCGTATGAAACACTGGACAAGGCAAGCCCCTGAGTGTATCAAGTGCTGACTGGAAAAAAGAAAAAGGGGCCTGTATGCAAATCATTTCATTCATCACAACAAAGTATGGAAAGGAGACAACTCATCTAACAAGTGAGAAGTGTTTTGTTTTGTTTCTGTTCTTTTTCAGACCCAAAATATGCAGTGCTTAATAGTGCTTCTTATATTGGCTATAGGGATCACCGCTGAATGGAAAACGAGAGACACAACCCGCCCCCAACATAACAAAACACAGACCCAAAGATGGGCCAGCAGCAAAAAAGAGTGGAACACAATAAAAAAACCAGGACGTACAAATGGAGCATGCATAATCAGTCCTAATGGAATACAATTAGGTGCAGTTTGGACCTACTCAGAAAGAAAACAAGGAGATATAGTAAGTATGACTCAGAAAAATCTCTATAAACACTGAAAAATTGGACATTTATGGTAGGCAGAAAGAGATGCATGCACATGGAAGTCAATACATTACATTAATTACTGCAGTTAATCCCTGTCCCATGGAGGATGCCTGGTGTTCCAAAGTCACAGCAATACAGTTTTATTTTTGGTTCGATGTACCCTTCCATGCTCTCTCTAGTACAGGTGAAAATATATACACCTTAATAATAAAGTTCAATCATACAGGGTCATGGCTAATTGCACAAGAATTTTGGGAGCTAGTTTCTTAAATCTAAATTTCCACACAATATTCCACAACAACCATCAAAATACCTACAAGATGAGATCCTGCACCTTACAGGGCAATAATCCCTGGAAATCCACTGCATGGTAAAATTGATTGTAAAACTTGGCAATTCAAAATGCAATACTGAAGGCAATAACATGCGTTATACCCTTAAATGGTTTAAATATTAGTCAGATTTATAGAAAGTGTAGCAATTACATCCAACCTATGAATAAATTGTTTAATCAGTTAAAAAAAAAAACCATGGCACTGCAGTATTTGTGACACAGCAGAGCAGAGCGTACAGAGGAAAAATGGGCGATTTTCTGGTGATGAGTTGAGGGTGATAATATAGGCATTTGCTAGCAAGCAGGCATATGGAGGAGGCCAAAGGGGTTGTCTGCCACTGGGCAGATGGGGTTGATGTGTGAGATGACAATAGAGGAGTCTTTGTGACTGTGTTGTCAGAAGAGGGGATGAGGAAAAGATAGATATTTCTGGCAGAAGGGATGGGATAGTAGAGGCAACATGTGTTGTGACTTTTCAGCATGGATTAAGCAAAGGGAAAGTTATTACTGGACAGGGAGGATGGCAAGATATTTGTAACAGCCTCAGGGTAATAAAGAGATGATGAGGAAGTGTATCTGTGACTTGGTGGGGGACATGAGTGGGTAGGGTAATGGGTGAAGCAAACAGGGATACTTTTGTCCTGCCAGATTGGGATAGTGATGTAAACCAGTGTGTTTGGAACTAGGTGAAGTGTGAGTGGGATGACAGGGTATACATGACCAGGTGGAGTGCAGAAACGAGGAAGTGGTGCTTTTTGCCTGGGTGAGGAATGGTGGAGGCAAAGGAGTAGGGGTTGTGACAAATAGCAGAGGGGAAGGGTGACATAACAGGGGTGTTTATGACTGGATGGGGGATAGGTGATCGGGGTTGTAAGATGGTGACAGACACGTTTAGGCAGGGTGACAAGTGAAGCAAAGGTTCAGAAGGTGGGAATTGTGAAGGCAACACATGTTCATGACTGGGGTACAGGTGAGGCAACAGGGAGTTCGTGCCCAAGGAGAGTGCAAGGTGATAGCACTTGTGACTTGGCAGGCAGGAGGATATAGGAGGTAACTAAGAGAGGGTGTTTGTGACTAGGTTGTCACAGGACAGGATGATGGGGAGGGAACTTAGCAATGAGGGGAAGCAAAGGTGAAAAAGTATTTGTGACTGGAGTGAGTGAGGTAACAGTAAGTGTTTGTGATGGACCAAGAGTGAAATATGAAATATCAAACATGTCCCAGAAATACATGACACACTACCCACATTGGCACAGAACAGTCTCACGTATTACCCATTTCTTCTTAAACCAGTGAGAAAGAAAACTCAGAGAGCACAAACTTCTTCCTGTGAAACTGGGGGGAGGAGAGTACAGTGGGGCTAAACCAGGAACAGTAAGGCCACTCTGCTTGAAATGTGCCTGGATCAGTCACTGCTAAAGGGTTTGACAGATGTATGCTGGACAGAAGAGGAAACGTGAGCATTACCCATGGGGTCTATCTGCAACATGGCACACCTGGGCTCCTTTCCCACTTGGCCATACACCACATGGTGCCAATGCTCAGCACTGTGTCCTCCCTGGATCAATCTCCCTGCATCAACCCAGTCACAAACACCCAGTTTAAAATATCTTAATAGTTACATCTGTCCACACCCCATGGCACTAAGCAAGGGTCTGTGTGAAAAATAAGGGTGGGTTTTGGAACTTTTGTATGCCAGTTCAAGGAGAGACCATGAAAGTTAACACACAGTACTTGAATTTGACCAAACAATCTGTGGCCACCTATAGCCTCTGTTGTCTCAGCCTCACTGATGCCTTCTACCTTGAACTGTGGCTTTTCTGCTACCCCAGTATGAGAGCTCTGCTGGTGACTCCCACTCTCAGACACAGTGATCCTTCCCCCTCTCTCCCCCCCGCCCCCAGTTCTACCACTGCTCCCTTGCACTGGCTGTAGGTCCCTTTCTTCACTTCACCCAGAGGCTGCTCAGTGACAACAGGGAGTGGAAGGGGGCCCAGTTCTGACAGTTTTGGATGCAACCACCAGGCCTGGTTCCTGAGCTCACACTGAGCCAGCTGAACTGAGTTGAGGCCTGGAAGGTGAAGAAGCCACAGGAGGAGACCAGGCAGGAGAACTTAATGCAGTCTATAGTGGAAAAATGTAGACAGAGTAGAGCACATGGCACAGCATGATGGAAGGAGATGAACCTGATTGAGGGCATGACTACCAAGAGGGTGTCTGACTGGATGTATATCCAAGTGGGATTGTGAGAACAGGAATTCCCCAACCTGCCTGTTTAGCTCCCACTGCAGGTTCCCTCAACCGTGGAATGGAGCAGAGTGGGAGTGGAATGAGCAGCATGGAGCTGAGCTGGGCTAGGCAGGCTACTTCTCCCTTCACAGCAGGGTGCAGGACCCCTTGCGCTTGATCTCAAAGGTAGAACTCAGCAGTGCCAAGTTGCGCTGGGTGTAGGGTGGGTAGCGGAATTCATTCAACTTCTCCAGGCCTGTGTAGCGCAGCAGGCAGGTGCGGTGATGAGAAAAGGTGTCGAAGCTGAACTTGCCATGGTACATCCCCAAACCACTTTCCCCTGTAACACACAACATAGCTCAGACAGCAGGATAAAGGTAGGGTTCTGCCCCACTAGCCCCACAGCACAACCAAAAGGAAGTGATGCTGCTTCAGATATGAATATATTATGGGAGGCCATTACAGAAGAGCTCTTGATAAGGCACCCAGGTTTTAGTGATCACAAGATTTTTAAGGTTTTCAAGTTCCAAGGGACAACCCTGTCAGTGAAATCACCAAGCCTGAGGAGCCCAGGGTCTGAATAGGGAAACAGCTTGAGTTTTAAGAAGGCAGAAAAACTATACAATCATAGACATTACACTACAACTGGGATGGGAAGAACCTTGATAGGTATCTTGTCCAATAATCCTGCTCAAAGCAGGATTTCCCCCTATTTGAACAATCTCAAATTAACATTTAGCTAACCTGGACCTAAGATCTTCCAGCAACTGAAGTTTCACAACCTCTCTAGCGAGTCTGTTCCAACACATAACCACCCTCCTAGTTATCTACAATTTAAACCTAGTGCTCTTTGTCCTGGCTCCTGTGAATACTGGGAACGATTACCATTTTTTGTTTTTTATTAACAACCCATTTCATATATTTTGTATACAAAAATGTATCAAATCATCCCTTAGTCTTTTCTTCTCCAAACTAAATAATCCTAATTCTTTTTAACCCATCCTCATATGGCATGTTTTTCTAAGCTTCCAATAGGCTTCTAATAATTTTTGGTGCTTTCCTTGAATTTTGAAATTCTTTTAAATTTCTTGTAATTCAGTGTCTGAGACTATACACAGTATTCCAGGTGAGACCTGACCAGTGCTGAATGCAACAGTTACTTCCTGTGACTTGTATAGGACACTCCTGCTAATACATCCCAATAGCTGCATCCCAAGGGGGGATACGTTTATACATAAGGACCCGAGACCTAACAGGATAAATAACTTACTCAAAAAGGATACTAGGAATAAGCTAAGAACCTGCAAGAAACAGGAAAAATAATGGCTGGGTTTGAAAGTGCTGAGATAAAGTGAAAATTCTCAAAAGTCCCAGCCTACTCTGCCCTGTAACATACATCACAACACAGGCGCAGGTGGAAGGCCCAGCCTTAATGCTCCCATGGTACAACTAACAAGAGGTGATGCTTCTTTTAGACATGGAGGGCAGGATGTAAATCTAAACAACACTAATAATGATTTTTGTATAAAGCAAGGACATTACTGTGGAAATGATTATAAAAAAATACCCTGGGATGGAATGACCACACATTTTTTTGGGATCTGTTACTAAGGTTTTCAACTTCAAAAGTGCAAACTTCAAGAAATTAAGTAAACCCAACTGGACAATCTAGTGACCAGAATGCTGGGGAAGCCTGCAACTTAACTCAAAGGCACAAACACTACTTAGACTTCGCCAAGAAAGGGGAAACTGCAGAAGAGAGCTCCTGACCTGTCTGGATGAATGGCCATTTGAAAAAGGGTGTTGGGAACAAACAGAGAGTTTGCAAGGAGTATAAAAGAAAAACTGATCAGCAAAAAAGCTCCGTCTTGAAAGTGCAAAAACATAAGAAAATTAGAATTTTCAGAAGTTGAGGTAGGGCTGCACTATAGTAAGGAAGGTGTTGAAATGAAAGATAATCTAGGTCTGGCCCAAAAATTAAACCAATGCTTTGCCTTGGTTGTCAATAAGGAAGGTGTAAAACATGGGACAAGGGTGGGTTGCCAAATGGAAAGCAGAAATGACCTCAGGCAGGGAAGAACCAAACTCCA